ATGAAATGGTTGAAATGACGGGTTAAGAAAACTATGTTTAGTAAATCGGTACCAATTTTTCTTCCTAACAATACCGAGCGTGTTGTTCAATAGTACTTATTAGTTAGAATTTAGTACCGACTTTGGTCAATGAACATGAATTTCTTGTACTTTGGCCAATGTTATGAGATCGATACCTACTCCATAGTGTAATCAATCGGTCATTAATATTTAATAGTATTTATTTGCCTTGATAAGTACCTACTTTAATAAACTTTGAAGAATGTTAAACTCCAATCTTGGATGTTATTTTGTCTACTCGAAATAACTAGTACCTTAGTTTGAATGGGATAATTAATACGAGTAAATAAGTACCCGTGCCAAATAGTCATGAACTTGCCACACTAAGCTAATAAATAAACAACACTAAAGTACTTCATTTGATCGTATGATCAAACTTGATTAGTCTAAATTCTACCACTATGTTGTGCATTAAAATAAGATTCGACCACTTCATACGTGAACGATCAAAATGGCATGTAGACATGGCCAATTAAGGAAATTATATTTAAAAAACCGATAATTGATTTTCTTCACAACAGCAAAGAGTGTGTACTTAAAAAGTACTTACAAGTTAGGATTATGTACCGACTTTGGTCAACGAACATGAGTTTCTTGCATTTTATTAAACAATTATGAGATCGATACCTACTCCATATTGTAATGTACTTGACCGATCATTAATAAGTGCATATTTTGTAGTGTTATGTATTTGTGTTAATAAATTTTAAAAAACATAACTATATGGTCCACGATAATAGAAAAATATAAAATATTCTTACATAAGATACCTAGTCCTAAGAAAATATGAAAAATACTTGATCAAGACTTCAAGAGCTAAGACACACTTTTTCATTGTGGGCCGCGAAATTCTCAGGCAGATCGATTCCTCTCCAAATCTGATGCTGACAGTGGGCTGTGTTATGGGCAACCCAACTTTAGGTGACCAAACCCAATAACCCAATTGTGAAATTGGACCTATAGAATCTGCTTGATCAATACATTCTATAGAATTTGCAAAATGAAGTAGGTTGTCCACAAATTTCAATACATAATTCGCATTTTTTTTAAATGCTGCAAGTATAAAATAGATGTACATAGAGTTGTACATAACGCTCACATAGAGTGAGTTCCACTTGATTTTTTATTTTTAATAGGCCCACTTAATATGAGTATTATGTACCTATAACATTACTCATTTTCTCTATTGCGTGTCGATTGGTTATAGAAAATTTTGTGAATCAATACGTAAAAGATTTGGGGAATAATGAAATATTTTCAAATTATGAGTAGACATAAACACATGTAATAAATGATTAAAACTGTTGCGAGATAAAAAAAAATAAAAAAATAAAAAATAAAGGGGAAATAACAAATATATTTTCTCTTCAATAAATATAAGATAGAGATGTAAAATAGGAATAGCAATTTTTTTTTTTTTTTTTTTT